CAATTGCCTCATTCGTACCTTCCTCCACCAGAGCTGAAGGAGACCCGACGTGTTGGGACCCTTCGCTCCACATCAACTCTACTTCAACTACATCTCTTCTCTGGTTCTTCTACATTACATAAATCTTCACGTCCTCCGCATGGAACGATGGCACACTGGTCGGTACCTTGGGCCCTGAGAGGGCTGCAACACGCGCAGCGCATCCTTCGATCCCGCTGATCCTGCCGATCCAAAGCCACGCTCAGAGGACTACCGCTCTCGAAATAGTACCCTTGTGAGCGAGGGTCTATAGAATGGTCGGCGAGCAGGCACTGTGATATCGTATGCCGGATCACCAAGGAGGACAATTCGGTCCATGTGCAGACACCCTGGACCCTCACAGCCAAGATTCTTCACCAGCTTATGGAATCGCGCGCGCATGGGGGAGTGTATCGCTTGGTTTGATACTCTCCTGCAGGACTGGGGTTGGCGAAGAATGGGGGCCAGAACGTGTCAGCGTGCTAAAGGAGGACTCCAAGGTTGGCGCCAATCAAGTCCTTCGCTCTCGCGTCCTCCAGCAACGTACCGTGCTGAAGAAGGGTAGATTAGCTCTGCTATCTCATGGTCCCACAAGTCCCCCTCCCAGCGCAGAATTGCTTTTGCTCAGATGCCAGGTGGTCTGATTACATTTGGTCAGGGTCTGCTCGGCCTTAGCCCTCTCAACCCCTTCAACCCCACTGCGACGGCGGAAATTCGCCAGCCCAGGGCGCCCATGTGCACCGTGAGGCAGTCGCTCCAGCCTGCAGATACGGGGCGGCGCCAGGCAAGCAAAACCTTCTGGTACCGTAACCGTGCTTGCTGGATAGCAGTCACAGTCAAGCCCAGCGACACGTTTAGCGGGCTCCATTGCGCAAGTCAACAATAAGGCGCACTCAAGAACAACAAACTGTATTATGGGCGCTTCCATTGAAGAATGAAGATACGCGGTCAGCTCTGTTCCGCTCTCGACTACCTTGAGAAATCCGGCAGTTACCACTTCTCAGCACTGTGTGGACATCTCCAGTGTCTGCCCCGACACTCAGAGGCCTGAGAGAGGATCCAGCCATACGCATGCTGCAGCAGGGTTGCGATGATCATGAGGCTCTGCTCATGGAAGGTAATCTATCAGCCGAAGCCACGGTCTGGACACACGCATGGGTGACGAGAAAAGCATGCGCGGGCAGCGACAGCAGAACTCCTCGTACGTTTACTCCGCATCCTTGTTCGCTTTCGGGCCGTCATGTGTGTCGCGTCCCAACACAGCATGGCACGGCTCACGGTGCGCGGGAAGGATGATCAACCATCTGGCCGGTGTTTTCACCCTCCTAATTGGGTTTGTGGCTTGCTTGCGGGGTTGCGCGTGCATAGGCGAGACCGACGCCAACGAATTACCTCTCACGCCTCGCTACTCCCTCACGGTGAGCCCGGCCGGCGGCAGTCCATAATCAATATGGCGCTTTAGGCCCTGTAACGGGCCATGCCGCCCACACTCGCAGTTTTCTCCTCGGAACTGTGCATTCGCAATGCGAGGTGTACGATCGTAACGAGCCCAAATTTGGCTCCCGAGCTCGCACGACTTGGTGTACGATGGCGCACAGCGCTATCAGTCAAGCATGATTACAGCCCGCCGAGGATACAGGCTTGCCATTCGTTCTAGCATCGTTCGCATGGCATGGAACCCTAAGATCGTGATATCTTAACTAGGGTTCCGAACTATTGGTACTCAGTAGCAAGTAATCCTGTGCTGATCACCCGTCGCAGTGGCTTTGGGCGTTCCAAGTGTCTGTCCATGGGCTGTTGCTGTTGCATGTTTGTGTGGCCTTCCAGAAGCGGGTATACCGCTTAGTGAATCTAGCACCGTACCCCATTACAGACGAAGGCTCGATTCAACCTTGGTCGAATCAGGTGTTGATACAAGCGAAGAAAGTAAGACTACTGAAGAAACGCCCGAGTCTACATCGCGTGGCTAGTCAACGACGCAAGAGAACGTCGCGCCATCGCCGTCCCGGCCCCAGGTCTAAACGGTGTGTTGACTATTCCAAGCCCACTTCAACCCGCCGTGTCATTTGGGGGTGATCGTATGTTTAGGAGCTGGTGGTAGCGATGGAAAGCCTCTCCACGCTTATCCTTCGACAGGAATCGCTTGTCAATATTCCGGAGGTCGCCAAAGCCTCTGCAGACCTGCCAGCACACCAATAGGACATATGCCTTCGAACACCATTAACAGAAAATGAAACACGTCTTGCATACAGGCGGGTACAATCACGACCTGGTCAATAATTGTTCGGAGTTGAATGTGCAACACACAACAAGAGGTCGACCAGGATCTTCGCGAAACAGGCCCTTTACGCTATAGCTTGTCTTGTGTCGGCCCTTCTCATCGCTGTGTTCCGCATGCCCATACCCAAGCACGCAAGACAAGCAGGGTCAATGCCGTGCGCTGGACGTTCTGGCCATTGCAACAATTTGTGGCGGTGCGACTTCCCATACTTTTTGCATTTTTAACAAGCTCTTTGGATACTGCAGTATGCGTTCTTGTCGACTCGAGACCACGGAATCTCAACAGTCGGCGTGGACGATGTCGTTTGCCTGCCCGAGTACTGATCTGCGGCAGTGCGCTATCACAACCCCGAAACATGCTGTCTGGCTGGCTCATGCATGGCTCAACTGTGGTTCTGGAGCGGGCGCATAGCTAAATCGATTGCGTACTCTGAATTCGAACATCCCGCGAGGCTCGGATCATAATCCTGCGGCAAAACCCAAATAGGTTCTGGCCTTGCATCTTGCAACCACGATCGCTCGCTGTACTGACGTGCGTCAGCCACATACTACTTTGGGGATTCATGCCCTGTCAAAATACACGGCTCCACTACCGCGTTGAGGGCGTGGGTCGAGGACTGCTTGACAAGAGTAGCATCTGCGACTAAAGTAGTCTCAACTGACCAAGTGGCACGGATTCCAAGGCTGTTCACCCCGCATATGCCATCACTAGCTTTTCAAAGCCACCATGAGCGGCCTCTCTGTTATACACCAGGTGGAATGATTAGTGTTGCGCCCATGGCGACATGATATACTGACGCATGGAATATTGCTGATGGCGTCAGACGGGTACGAAGCCGATGTTGAACAGCGCTGTTACATTCCATGGTCAAGGTGTTGCAACGCAGTCAATGAACAGGTGCCAGTTGCACTGCGGCCGGTATACTTGGCAAAAACCAGGCGGCGTTGCTGATAGGAGGGCTCGTACCAGCGAGGGTGCGGTTGACGCCTTCCACAACCTTATCCATTTCGTCGGGCCAGGAGGGTCCAGGGGCCACGCGGAACAAGATGTCACGCTGACTACCAGATGCCGCGTTAGTATGGTACGGAACATGAGGTCCGTGTATGACAGCTAGTCCTCGGGAGCCTTTGGTCAAAGACACAGGGCGTGTGCACATGGCGTGCCGTGGCAGCGCAAGGTCCCAGAGCGAGATTGCTCTGACTTGGCTCCCCACACCCGGTCCAAGGCTACGAAACGGTTACGGTTGTAGGGCAAGCGTGTTTGCTCGCGACCAGACAACGCCCAGCGCAAGCGCAGTCACATGCGATAGCTGTCCACCGCGCCCATACTTCGAATCGCAACCAAGATTATTCAGACGACCATGTCACGCCATGCCACAGTAGCCTTGCGATGTAGGCGGTCACACTGTGCCATGACGCACCGCGACATCAAAGGCTGGTTAGTCATGAAGAGTGGGCATGCTGGAGTCAGTCCCGCAGTGACGATGTGACGATGAGAAACTCGGTGAGGTCAGCGCGATACAGGGCCTGTTGAAGAGGCAGTGCAGCGACGAGCCCCACGAGGATTCGCTTAAGGACCCGATTAAGGGCAATGGTCTAAGATTAGCAGCGCCCCACGTCCAATGAGACGTCATACCATCTGCACAGCCGCATGCTAGCGTCACCAGCCACAGCGGTCCGGGCAAAGCGAGAGGATCGCGTATCAGATGCGCTAAGGGCCACCAGGCGTGCGGAATGGCAGGACAGCTTCCCAGTCCCCCCATGGCTCCCCGACCGAAGCGGTGATCAAGCGTGCGTTTCCAGCAGGGTCTATCCCTATTGCGCTTGTCTTTCCCAGATGCAGCATGAAGGCTCCCACGCGCTGCTCGCCTACTCGCTGACGTCCATCTACCCCTCGTCACTTTCGGCATGGCTTGCTCTGTTGGTGCGTCGACTTGCGTGGACAGGGGTCGGGCACACCGCGACTCCCAAGGGGTTAGTGCTACCACTGGGAGGCCGGAGCGCGCGATCGAGGCGGGGACGTGAATTGACGGCGGCCGGTAACTTCTGCCTTCTTTTTATTTTTCCTAGCGTGGCCTGACCGTTTCCTAATCTACCACATCATGCCAGAGGCCCAAGCGCATAGGGCAGTAAAGCCTCCAGGACAGGGGCCTGGCCTGCCGTCGTATAGCTTCGTGCACTGTTTCCCGCTGGGGGCCATTGCGGTCTTGTCTTGGGCCTTATGTATAAACCAACTTCGCCCCCCAAGGCATCGTCCTCCATCCAGGCCTATGATCAACGCAAACACTGCTTCATCCAGACCCTATCCGACGCTGTGGATTACCCTTCAGGATCATAGTCCTTCCGGCTTCTGACTTGTCCTTCGCTTCAGCCAGCCGCCTCCAGGACTACTCAACGGAGAGGGACTACGCGCTGTCACTCCCGTACCCACATGCAGTAAAAGATCAGCAGAGTTTCGACGCCCTTTGACTATTCGCCGACTCATACGACAACCTTAGGATTTGATCGGCACTTCCTCCGGGAAGGTAAGCTTTCCCCTGTCGGTCACTTATAATTTGCGCTAGCCCTACCAACCAAACACCATCGATCCGATCGCACCTACTCAGTGCTTATGCTGACTCCGTTTACGGATATAGGCATCGGCTGCAGTTCAATTCCTATCTGCTGCAACCTGCATTGCTCCACCTACCACATTCTTCATCATGGTTGACTACGCCCAATATACACCGAACATGTCTCACGACTTCGAGCTCTACTCCAACCCTCAAGATCAGCATCTAGAGTTTCACCACAACCAACCCTATGTGCCTGCCTCAACATATGCCATGGAGCACGCCTTCAGTGCCCCCTTTGACCCAATGGCTCCTCTTGCAGACCTCCAACGGCCACAAGATCTACAATACCATTACGATGCCATCGCACAAGGTGTCAGGCCATATCAGTACCAAACCCCAGCAGGCTCTCCACATTCCACTTCACATTCATTCCACGAAATCCCCCCTGTGCTTTCGGCGTCTTCCGAATCTGGCGCTTCAGTGTCGTCTTCTGCGATGGGCTCCCCATCGCTTGTTCCGCGGTACAATGATTCCTGGTCCAACATGGGACTCGGAGCCTCTTCTGGCTATGATTATTCGGGGATGGTAGCGACTGATAAGTCGTATGTGGGTAAGTCAACTGTTCCTCTACCGAAAACCTCACCTGCTTCTTTCATTACATTTCCTTCATCGCCAATCATTACGCGACATGTATTCAAGACGCCTATGACTCCAGCTTCAGCCAAATGGTCGTCCAGATCAAATGGGCGGAGGAACTCTCTTCTACCGGACAGGGTCACAACACCCAGTATTCCATCAGTCAATTCTCCTTCAGTCACTTCAGTTCCGCATTCTTTTCATCCTTTTCAGTCTTGTTGGTTGCCTTCCAGTGCTGCATGCAACAACAACTAACGCAACTCAAGCAGATCCTAATCTCATTCAGCCCTTCCCATTCGCACCTCAGAGCCCATACCCTGAGATCAGGACTACTCCATCTCCTTACTTCCCCATTATTGAGCAGCCGCCTTCGCCAGCTCTCTCTCAGCCCTCATCGCAGAGCCAGCGTCCCAGTTCGGCAACCATCGGGAGGAGTAGCGCCAGCCCATACCTACACACTCAACGATATCAGCCTTACCCTCAACCTGGCGGACAACGGCGAGGCTCCGTCGTCTCTGTCCAATCACAAAACTCAGGCACCAGCCGCAAGAGCACAAGTAGCTACGACAAAGATGAGACCCGCGAAAAGGGCATGTGCCCACTGCCCGAGTGTGGACGCGTCTTCAAAGACTTGAAGGCGCACATGCTCACACATCGTGCTGAACGACCAGAGAAATGCCCTATCGCGACCTGCGAATACTACTCGAAAGGTTTCGCAAGGAAGTATGACAAGAACCGCCACACACTCACACACTACAAGGGTACAATGGTCTGCGGCTTCTGTCCAGGTAGCGGTTCAGCGGCTGAGAAGTCGTTCAACCGCGCTGATGTCTTCAAGAGGCATCTTACATCTGTTCACGGTGTCGAGCAGAACCCTCCCAACAGCCGCAAGAAGAGCCCATCTGGCCGCAAGGCTTTCGGTGGTTCGCAGCCCAGTGTTGCTGGTACTTGTTCCACTTGCTCGGTCACCTTTGCCAACGCGCAAGAGTTCTACGAGCACTTGGACGACTGTGTGCTCCGCGTTGTTCAGCAAACCGACCCCAGCGAGGCTATCAACCAACGCCTGCTCACATCGGTTGCAGAGGACCCAGATGTCACCGAGACGCTTGATCGCAATGGTCTGTCCAAGAGCATTGAGTACACTGTCCCCAACTACGACGAAGACGAAGAGGATGACTTCGAAGAAGACGAGGTCGACAATGACGACCACGAAGATGCCACTTACGGCTCTCGTCGCGCCCGCTCCGGCAAAGGCGCAATCAAGTCCTCCAAACAACATTGACAATTAACACATCCCCGAGGTGTCGGCGCAACGCAGCACGTCGGGGGTGGCAACCACCTACCAAACCACCAATCCTCCTCTCGCGTCCAGAAGTCGGGTCCTCGCGCCGGCCTTACCTTCTCCAAAGGTGGCGTAGCCATCACCGGCTCTGGACGCAAGAAGCGCAAGAACTACCCCGTGTCCTGGGGCTGCGCAACCGACAAGATGAAGATGAAGAAGCGCGTCTTGTGCGTATACGACGGCCAGAGAAGGCTATGGAAAGACGACATGATGCTCGACCAAGAGTTTGAAGTGCGCATGAAGCTGCCTGACGGCAAGTCTTACGTCACAGATCTGGACGTGCAGACCTTCAACCGCGCAGATGCCCTGCATTCCGCGACGAGGGAGGAGAGAGGACCTTGGGTGCCCGACAATATCGTCGGCGGCCTCAACGGTGTGAGCATGGAGACAGCACCACTAGAGTGGGCTCTCTGAGTACGAATAGCGATACGACATTTGCTTTTGCTGCGAGCGTTTTGAGCGATACGGATGGGATCTACAAAAGGTTGCAAGACAGCCCGTACACAGACACGGCATGATGGATGAACGAACACCCCCAACGAACTTCTTTGCTGTAATACCAAGCTTGTAGCTTTTGTATTCTTGTACTTTTCTTGATCGATACCACTGGAGCTTTGCTTTCGGGCTTTTGGAGTTTGCGCTTGCGAGCGAGATGTAATGGACGTGCTGGACGCGAAGACATAGTATCTGAATCTATTGACTATTATCATCATTATATTTGCACACACACATGATCTGTGACTGCGTCAAACACTTCATTGCTTGACTACACGTAACTTCTACATCCTCACCACCTCAAAACCGACTACCCACACAACCCAAGCTCTGAGGAGGTGCAACTACCCCAGGGCGCAGAAGGAGCTGACATCAACCACGCCCCGGACCTGCGTCGTAGATCATCCCCAGAGTACGGTCTCTGGGAATTTCGGCTCTCGTTCCCGTTACTCAAATGTAAGCTGCCACAACTTTCCGATGACCGGTTTATCCAGGGCAAGCAGCAGGGCGTTACCCGTTGCGTTGGCCTGGATTCAGCCTCAGCCACAGCTGACCTTGTGTGTGGATAAAGTATGGGACGGACGGCTGGTCATTTTTCGATACCGGAATATCGGGTCCGTTCAAGCGTGGAGGATGCATTGAACGAAGGGTTGTTTTTGATGGGGGTATGTTTGGTTATTGCGGTGGCGTGGAGGGTCTGCGGGTTTGTGCTCGTGGGGGAAGCGGTGCCAGCGCGTAGGGAGGGCATTGAACTGGATTTGTTTTCGTAGCTAGAGAGGTTCTGCGAGAGGGTGAGTCTAGAGGCTTGCAGACCTAGGCATTGGAGCCATAAGCAAGCATCGAGTGCCTGCATGGCCGTGTTTCAACGATATGTATTCTCGCGGCCTCGTCCTGGCTATTGTCGAGTCTAGATGCATATGCGGTGTCGTCTTCAGAAACAACGCTTAAGATGTCTGGACAACTCCGCGGCCATAATGTCGCGCCCTGCTTGGTCTGCTCATTCCATTTTGCAGGTGGGAGAAGGGAAAGGCCACAAGCGCCCCCGTGACTGCGCGTCGTGATGAAAGTGGGCAGAGCGGCGAGTGAAGGTCCGTGCTCAGTTCCCCGCGGTGGGAAGGCAGCAGCGACCTAGACAGCTTGTAGCTCCATCAACTCCCAGCAGTACGCCGCAACCACGCCTTCTCTCCCTCTCACAACACTGCCACCATGGCTTCGAATATCGAGCAATCGCCTTTCTTCCAGGACCAGAGGTCAAAGGGCGAAATCGTGGTCAAGGGTATGACATAATCAATACAACAATGGCGCATGTTCGCTAACTCCGATAGACCCTCCCAAGTTTGACCTGGAATCATACATTGCCAACTACAGCGGTACGTCTCTCACAATGCCTCTCTAGCTATCTGTATACTAATTCCTCTTGTAGGGTACACACGAATCGACCGCCTCCACCACATCGGCGCGCACTCGCCATACCTCGCCGCCGACGCATACCACCTTGCCATCGCTGAGGCAAAGAAGGGCAAGAATGTTGATCTATACAAAGGCTTGGTAGAAGAATACAGTCGCATAGCACCACAAGATCCTGCTTCCGTGGTCGACACGACATGGGTTGAGAGGCAAACGAGGATGGTGCGCGAGGAGCACGACCGGCTAGAGCACGAGTTGAAGTCATACAAGAACAACCTGATCAAGGAGAGCATACGAGTAAGTGGAGACAGGGGGGAAACAGGTGTCGATATACTCACACTCTGCAGATGGGCAATGAAGACCTCGGTCACTTCTACTACGACACCGGCGACTTCAGTAGCGCACACAAGGCCTACATGAAGATGCGCGAACACTGCACCTCGCCCAAGCACCTTGCCGATATGACCCTCCGCCTCGTATACGTTAGTATCGCACAGAAGTCATGGACGACTGTACTAGCCAACCTCGCTAAGTCCGAGGCCACACAGCTCAAGGGCGACGAGAAGGCCAAGCTGGAGCCCATCATCTCTGCTTGCAGCGGTCTATGTCACATGGCTACTGGCAACTACCGCGAAGCTGCGACAGCTTTCCTCGGCACCTCAGCGGCATACTTGACTGCAGAACCAGCAGCAAACATCACATGGCAGAAGGAGGTCATCTCAGGCAACGACATCGCCGTGTATGGCGGTCTCTGCGCGCTTGCCTACATGGACCGTACCGACTTACAAAACAAGGTGCTAGCAAACAGCGAGTTCCGCAACTTCCTCGAGCTGGAACCACACATCCGCCGCGCCATCAACCTCTTCTGCAACTCCAAGTACAGCGCCTGTCTCGAAGTGCTCGAAGGCTACCGCAACGACTACCTCCTCGACCTTTACCTTTCCAAGATGCTCAACACAATCTACAGCAGAATTCGGAGGAAGAGCATTGTCCAGTACTTCATACCCTTCAGCTGCGTCACGCTCGATGAGATGGCCTCCAAGTTCCCGCCAGCACAGGGCCGGACCATCGACGAGGACTTGGAGGAAATGATCAACCAACGCCTTCTCAATGCGCGGATAGACCTCGTCGACCGCCTGCTCATCTGCCCACCCACCGATCCCCGCCACGACGTACACGCCGACGCGCTCAAAATGGCTGAAGCATACGACCACACCCTGCGTCTCCGATTGACGCGTCTCAACATGCAGGCAGCGGGCATGGAAATCTCGTCTCAGAAGATGAACGATAAGTCGTCTGGCATGGGCGGTGGCATCAGCGACACGTTCCGCGGTATAGGTCAAAAGATTGGGTTCTAGTAGACCATTCATGACAAGACCACTCCGGCCCATGCTACTGAAGGAAGACGGCGCGGCGGCTAGCATTTGCAAGGCGTTTTGGGAGCGGCATGGCGTACATATACAGGCTCTGGGAGAAAGGCCATTAAGCGGCATTCTGGCGTTGGAATCAATACATGACGCAGTTTGACGGACGAATCAACACGTTTATCAAGACACATGTTCACCGTTCTACTTCTTCTGTATGTGTGGTATGCAGTGCGTGATCATTCCTTCATTCATATTCGTATATCCTGGGTATCTGGTATCTGTATGTATATATCCTTGCTCAACGCCAAACTTGCTAGATCATGATAACTCGCTAAGGTAACTGCAATATTTGTCGTAAAATAGTATTCAGCCGCTTCTCTGAAAGGAATCGGGCTACGCGGTGCTCATCTGAACACCGCTGGCCCTCTTGCCGCAGCCCACTGATCCTGTTGCTGCTGTTGTTGTTGTTGATTCTGTTGATTATGTTGCTGCTGCTGCTGCGGTCCAGCATTCTGGTACCCATAGTATCCATTCGGCGCCCATGCAAAGTCACCGCGGCCAAACGCATTGTTCGTATCGATGGTAGGTGCGGGTGGCTGTTGCGGTTGCGTCTGCGGGAGGTGTGCGTTCGTCTGTGCCGAAATGCTGTTCTGGGCCACCATGGGCTGAGTAGCCATGGTGTTGACCGGCAGTGCGTTTTGCGGCATGGTTCGGTGGAGGGTGCCGTACGGAGAGTGGGTGGAGTGGTTGGCGGTGAAGTAGTTTGGGTGTGTTTGGAGCTGCGTGGTTTGCATCTGCTGTGCTGCTGCTGCTTGGAACTGTTGTTGGGGTGTTAGAGGTTGTTGCTGAGCCCCGAGCTGTTGTGGCTGCGTCTGCTGGGGTTGTTGCGGTGCGTTCGGTAGGCGTTGTTGAGGTGATTGACTACCTATCTTGTAGGCCAGTTGCTGCTGTGGGCTTCTTATGCCGTGCGGTAGGCCCTGGTTGAGTTGCTGCAGTTGTTGGCGGTGGTTCGGAATCGACTGTTGACGCTGGAGCTGCTGGGAAGCATGAGGCATGGCCTGTGCTTGAGCGACATGTGGCCGATGGCGAGGCTGTGGTGGGACCTGCATCTGCTGTGGCTGCTGCTGCTGCATATGTACTTGTTGTGGTTGTGGTGTGGGTTGCGGTGGCGGCTGGTGGGCTTTGGCTTGCTGCGATCGAGGCCGCGGTCCCATCTGCGGCGTCTGAACAGGAGTAGTCGAAGCCCGCTTCTCCTCTTCAAACTCTCGTATCTTGGCCTTTGCTTCCTCAAGCTGTTTCTTCAGCATCTCGAGCTCGGACATGCCATTGTTCGTAGATTGACGTGCGGGTTCGGGGGTATTGATGGGTGGGCGCTGATCCTCGCCGTTGGCTGGCTCAGAGTAGAAGCACACTCGTTTCTTGTCGTTACAGGTCGAACAGGAAGGTCTTATGCCATCGCACTGTGTATGTCAGCTTCTGTTACTTGAACATGCCATGGGCGATGTCCTACCTTGGTCTTTTTTGTCTTGCAGACGTCGCAACTGTTCCTTGGACGCTTCCGTTGTGTTGCTGCTATGGCTTGCGTTTCGACGTGTAGTGTGGGGCGTGGTCCTGGGTGAGGTCTTTGCGGAGGGGGACGCTGGGGCGGCGGCGGAAGAGGTGGAGGAGGTGGAGGAGTTTCGATAATCGTATGATGTGACTCTGCAGGTGGCTGGATCAGCTCCAACAACGAACGCAGACTCTGTTGCCTCAAATCGCTCTCGATTGTGTTGAACGGCCTCGGGGGCTCTGGTGGAGGGTCGGATCGCTTCTTCTTCAACACCCTGGGCGTGTCGGGGTCTTCGCTGCTCAGCTGCCTCGAGCGGCTTGCGAGCCTGGCAAGCGCTTCTGGGTCGTTCTCCTCAAGATACTTGCGGCGCTTCGAGTCCTTTCGTGGCGGTGGGGCGCGCTCTTCGTATGTCTTGTGTATAGGCACATGCTTGTAGAAGACGTCGAGCGTCTGTTTGGTGGCCGAGAACTTGATGGACAAGACGCCTTTGCAGTCGTAGACAGGCTTCGTGGCGCGCTTTCCCTGCTTCGCGCCCTTGCCATTCGCAGCGCGGTCCTTGTTGAGCAGCGAGTCGTTGCAGTAGTAGGAGAAGCGGTAGCTGTCGTCCTCCCTGCTGTTCCAGCAGTTGTGGAAGCTGTAGCGGTATCCGTCGATCCTCTGTATTCTGTCCACGCAGCACTTGGCTACAGCCCTCTGCTTGCGCATCTTCTCCTTGGCGTCCGGCGTCGGCTGCAACGCCTCTCTGACGCTCAATGCGACTTTCTGCTCCGCCGTCTTGGACGCGCCATTGTTGGGTTCAATAGACTCGGCATAGCTGTGCCCCAGCGCGACAGTTGGGTCCGAGAGGGAGTGGTACTGCGCGGGGAAGTGCGCAGACTGGTAGCCAGGTGGTGCATGGTTGTATTGATGTGCGAGGTGGGGTAGTTGGTGTTGTTGTTGCGGCGGCGGCTGAGTTGCCTGCTGAGGCTGCTGGGACGGCGTCTGCTTAGTCGCCGACGGGACTACGAAGGACGTGTCGATATCGAAGGCGAATTGGGCCTCGGTGTGCTCAGGCTCCTTGGGGGGACTCCTCAGGTATTCGCGCAATGACGTCTCGAATTGGTCGAGAGAGCGGACTGGCCCAAATGCCACGATCTTGGCCTGCGAGTCCTTTGGCTGCCGCCCTCTTTGGAGCTGCACGGGGGCTTGAGGCCATAGAGCCTGGTCGTTGGCATCGTGTGCACTCGTGGGTTGAGCATGGACGGCGGCCATGAGTGGAGCCACCCGGGGTAGTGAATAAGGAGCTTTTGAGATAGCCGTCTCCCGGTACCGTGCAAGTCTTGGCGAGAGCCCTAGACGCGATCATCAACACTTCATGGCGAGACTGACGGATGCCGAAGACGTGCTAGAGGCGCGTAGGCATGGCGGGAAGTATCAGAGTTTAGATGGTAGTAGTCTAGAGCTTCACCGCGTCTAGATACTCTACGACGCCATCAAAGCACGGGTGTAGGCATCGGAGCGTGCCTAGTCCGATGACGCATCATACAACCCGAACCTGCATGATTCTCTAGGTTGACATCGCGTCGCTTGCCATGCTGTGGATACTCTATGTGGGAACGCGTCAGAGAACTACTTATGTTTTTTCTTTTGTTCAACGTGTGGGTGAGCATTCCAGGTATCTGCACACCTGCGCCATGTGGCGTTGTTCATTCCAAATCACAATATCACATAGCAACCACATGTCAATATTGAGAGAACCGTGTGTTTGTTTCATTCTACTGACTTCGCAATCCCTCCTATCCTGGTAAGGTCCTCAAACATCGACACTACGAGGTCTAAGCCCGCAATTCCTGATTTCCGCGTCATACCCTAGCATCCGCCGCCAGCGTGAAATGGCCCTTACACATCTCAGTAGGATCCAAATGCGACAGGCACTCACGCTCGTGCTGAAGGAAGAACGCATCGTTGAGTTTGAAGATCTTGTCACAATGCCCACAGCGCACGGCAAGTTTCCAGAAAGCCCAGCAGACATCCAAGTGATCCCACAAATCCTTGAGTTCATACGATTGAAGGCAATGGTAGCACTCTTTGTGCCGATCTTCAGGGTTCTCTACTGGACGTGCAATGCCTACATGGGCGAAATCGGGGTCGAAACACGGGAGCTTCATCTCGTAAACCCTGTCGTTGCTGTAGTCTATCTTCATGTTGGTCTTCAGCCAGGAATTGTACCAGTGTTTTTTCCTTTTCTTTCCGGGGATTTGAAACTTCTCGGACGAAAGCGATGCTTTTGTAGTCGGCATGACTGGCTGTTTGCCCTTGAGCGCCTTACCAGTGGCAGCGGCAGCAGTAGACTTTACCTTACCAGCGAAAGGACGGCTAGACTCATCGTTGTTGTGCTCTCCTCGACCAGTCTCAGACGCACTTGCCCAGGGCTGTGGTCTCAAGTTTATCTGCCTCTCAAGCTGAGCAATCCTCCCTCGGGCGATATGGAGGGCTAAGTCGTCGTCGCGCTTCTGCTTTCGCATGGCCTCAATCTCTTCATCTTTCTGCCGTATCTCCTGGATCAAAGCATCGATCAGTACTTGTTCCCTGTTGACTCCCGCCATTGTCGTTTGGGTACCTGGTGTAGGAAAGGCGAATATCGGGGTAATACTAAGCAAAGGATCGATATTTAAGTAGAAGTAGAGCAGGGGGGCTGGTATTTGTATGGTTTCAAATGGGTCCAGATCGCATATTTCTAGAACTTTGTAAAGCAAACCGCTTGATGGGACAGTTTATCGCGGAGCTGGAGCAGAGAGTAGTACTTTCTAAAGTTTTGCGAAGGCTAGCGTGAGTCAAAAAGGTGGAGTTACCAAAAGGTTAGAGAGCGCGAAATTGACGCTATTTTCTTTCCTGTCGTAGATTGGTTCAACAGTAGAATGGTAGCTGCGGCTTTTGCTAGTATTGATACTGTAGAGAGGAGCAAGCTAGGCTCGACTGGCTTGGAGTCTGTAAGAAAGCTGATAGAAAGAGCTGGCTGGAATGAGGACGTACTAACATGTGTTGTTTTCCAGTGATGAATATCAGTCGACAGACGTCAATCGAACAGAGGCCATTTTCTAGAACTCCATAGCATAAGTCCGAAGGCAGCCGCACTGGCCGACTCCCCATGTCGAGCCATCCCGCTCCCAGAAATAGGAACGGAGTCGAGAGAGGTTACTCTCAAGCCGGTGCTCAGTACTCACAACCTCCTTCCGCAGACCTCTCCATGCTTCTCCAAGCCACAGGTTTCAACATGATGAAGTCATCATCCTCCTCTTCCACCCCCCACCAATCTACCAATCATCATCACTATCCTCCCCCGCAATATCCCCACCCTTAATTCTATCCACCACCCTCTTAACCCCCCTCTCCACACTCTCCCCCTCAATCGCACACCCCTCATGCCAAACAATCGCATCCATAACCCCATCCATGAACCACATCAGCGTCGGCACAAAGCTCACATCTAGCATATTGCCCAGATCAGGCAGTGAGTACATGTCGAAGCAGTATATGTCGACTACATCGTACTGTTCGTAGGATGTTGATGGGAGCAGCTTTTGCAGGGCCGTGGCTACCTCGTTAGTGGTTTCGTCTTCGGGCCAGTAGGCTAGGAGGACGGTTTTGCCGGCTGTGGCTTTGATGCAGGCGGCGTATTCGGCTAGGTTTGTGATTTGGGAGAAATGCGCCATTGTGGGGGTTTGTTGGGTTTGTGGTGGGTTGGTTGTGTGAAGGTTGTATGTACTGTAGATCTGGAGCTGAGCTAAGCTTTTGTTCGTGTTCGTCGCCCCTCATCCACGCGGGGATCCACGCCTCTACCAAGTCTACACCATGCGATGATCGTTTGGCCGATCTCTGGCGCGACAGACCCCAAACCGAAACTGGGGGACCAATGGATCCTTTATTGAATTGACATTGCTGCAGGTAGGCTGCGATCGCGATACGTGAAGCCATTTGACGCGTCCCCTTTCGCGACGAAGCGCGACTTCTCTACAGAGCGCGTTGGACAATGAGAAGAGACATCGCCAGAGGCATGTCCTCGCTGAGTATCAGCTGCGATACTAATAACATACACAGGGTATGTCATATAGAACACCGCGTCTACATGTACAGTCGCTGACAAGCTACAGCTAAGAACGTAGTCTATCGCTTTCACCGAAGCCTTCCTCGATCGCCAACCCTCCAATAGCGAACATATCGCGCGCGCGATAGTCTCAATTAGACCGGCTATTCCAGGAAAATCCCAGCCGTATCCCATAGCGGCCAATTACCACGTCGAGTGCGTCGTCCTCCACAATCCTGAGACCGCCGTTCTGCGAACATACGAAATTAGTTGCTTTTGGCTAGCATACAAAGGGCTATCGTTGGGACGACGGGGGAAACACAACATGATTGTAATGAAAGTCTTAGTATGCAGAGCGCGACGTGCTGGGCTATACGATGTCCAATCCGTTTATCAAAGCAGCTTGTGTAAAGACGCACAGGGAGGGGACACGCAATGAACAATGAAGTAAATATGCAACACTATCTCAGTCTTTTCGTCAACAGCTTTCCCTCCCTCCTCATGGTCTAGTTTACTCAGCACCAGCTGCCCTCGTTCTAGTGACAGTGCTGATCACAGTACTCGTCCTAACAACCGCGCTGGAAACTGTCCTTGTAACTGTCGTACTAGCAGGGCCCCTCGTAATGAAGCACGAGCAAGCAGAAGAGATCTCGCCACTACCGAGACCAAGCGAGATGTGAATGCCACCTGGCCCACCAAGCGAGATATCCAGTTGGCGCTTACGTACGGGTAGCTCTGCGGGGCATGCGGCGTCGTAGAATGTGTACGGGCTCATGGGATTGTAGTTGGTGTTGTCGATACTAGGGATACAGTCAGCAAGAGATTGGGATAAGTGAAAGGAGTGGGCTTACGCGGTTACATCGAAAAGCATGCAGTTCGCTTCTCCATAACCGAAGCTCAGGCACTTGCTATCGGCCTTGCAGAGCGCGCTGCAAGCTTGGAACGTGTTCTTTGTACCGCTGGACTCGAAGTAGTAGGCTGGCGTGGTCTTGACGTATGCGACGATGCCGCAGCTGGGTGTGCCTGTGGGCGTGCTGTGGAGATGTCAGCTCTATGTAGTGTGTGGAATTTTGTGCTATATGGACGTACGGAGATGGGCTCGAGACGAGAGTTGAGGATACGATCGTGGAGGAAGGCTGTATAGGAGTGGGCGAAGAGGATGGCTTGGGTGTTGAAGAGGAAGACGGCTTGGGCGTCGAAGACGAAGACGGTGTTGGAGTCGACGACGATGTAGGCCTCGGCGTAGACGATGGCGTTGGCTTAGGGGTAGCACTTGGCGTCGGAGTAGAAGTAGGCGTCGGGCGCACAGTTACTGTGGTCTTCCGAGTGGTAGTAGTCGTGGATGTGACGCCACTGGTTATGGTAGAAGTTGCCGTCCCCGAACGAAGGATGTTGCTACAGAAGAGTGCCGCTTCAGACGTATGCCCATCAAACGCGTCCAATCCGCAGTCTTCCACTAATGATGGTGTTAGACTGCTTTGTCATTGTGCGAAACGAGTTCATACCATCAGGATATCCGAACTGCCTCTTTATGCGACTAGACGCTCCTACACTCGCAGTGAGCGCTACCGCCAAACCTATGGAAAACTTCATAATGTCGTTTCTGGCCTTGGCTAAAAGTCGACTTCGGAGGGATGAGCTGGTACCGGGATTGATGCTGGACGTCCATGTCTTATAGACAATATCTATACCTACGACTGCAACAATTTCCCACTAACGAAGCGGCTGAGCTGAGTATTGCATCTCGCATTTCATTTGGATAGATGAACCACAGACCCCTTGCCTGCCTCGGTGTTCTGGCTCAGACAAGATGGGCTAGAACGCGTACATTCCTGCTACCGCCATAAATGAACACGAGAACGTGACCGTCTCCCGCCGGCAGATGTTGATCGACTGATGTTTACCGAGCAGAAGTTTGCACTTCTTCCTGCAGCCAGGCAGGTGGCTTTCCCGATGTTACGGTCCGAGAGTGAATTGACCAATCAGCAACCTGCTCGAAATTGAGGGCGAAATATCGAAAAGTATGGGGAATTAGGCTTAAAGTAAAAGTGCGGACAGGGCTGCCGTAGTTGGACCCTTTATCCCTACGCAGCCCGGCAAAATCGGACTGCGTTGAGCGAATATGTGAGTGCTGCAGCGCAAAAATAGTGACAGTGTCCACTTGGTGCGGAATGTTGCATTAGACCTCTTCGCTAAGATGCATATAGATCTGATCTGACTTCCTGAATCCACGCCATTTGTACGGCTTTGTACTAGAAGATGCGGGCCAGACACTTCGAATAACCTAAAGTTTATGCCTGATCAGGTACGGACCGAGGCGGACGCACCGACAGCGGTGCATAGGAAGGTTTAGGAAAGTTCGGTTTGAGTGTTCTCATGAACGGTCCAGGAAGCAACCAAATTATGCGAGGAAGAGAGTGAACAGGTGCGCTGTAGTCTGTAGTCTACATTAGTGCAACGACGAAAGCTGCTGAAACCCCAAGACAATGTAGACTTTTAGGTCATGTATTGATAATCGGCGTCTAATGCTTTCCTTGAACGGTGTGTAGAGATGAAGCGCGCTATCCACGGCGTACGACAAACCACAGCCGCCTTGTAGTGTCGTCCAGATGGAATTTGAGGTGGTCTTTACCCAGCGGCTTGAGCTTGGCATCCACGGTGAACTTGATGCCGAGATCCTTGCCTATCTCTTCCCACATCTTCTGAAAGCTTTCAACGTTGTGTCGATACATTGTGCCTGTAGGACCGTCCTTCTCGAGGGGCTCGGTGGCTCCGACCTGTCGACCGAGTATCATAGAGCCTGGTTGAGGGCGTAGCAACGCGACAACGGCTTTGGAGACTTCGAGTTGTTTCTCATATCCCCACAGATGGAAGAAAGATCCGGCATAAACCATGTCCATCTGGCCTTGGAGATTCGTGAGCGCTGATTGAGGGTCGAAAATATCTGCTATCAAGAACCTCGTCTTGAGCTTCTCTCGATCGCGAAACAACTCGTAACCCAGGTCGATGAAGTCTGGCTGTAGATCGCAACCGTATAGGTTCTCAGTCGGTGCTCCATCGTTCGCAAGCGTACGAATAGTCTGGCCAACGCAGCAAGCCATGTCTAGCAGCTTTTGACCTTTGTGTAGGCGTTCAACAATCTCTTTGCGCTCGTCTGGGAGCTCGGAGAAACTGGGGTCGAGAAACCGAAACTGCCCGATGCAAGGATATGGATGCACCTTCCAGGCTTTCTCACGAAGTCGGACAACATGATCAAATACGTCATCTGATGGGATTCCACTCCACGATTCGAGAAGCCGCTGGGTCTCGGGAGGGATATTGTCGTTTGAAGGGTTTTGTTCGAACCAAGCAGGCATCGCTTTCTCGGGATCTTTGATGTCGGTCATCGTGATATGTACCGTACCGGCTTTCGTGAGATGCGATAGTGATGTCGGCACCTGGGCAGGCACGGTTGGTTTGCTGTACTTCCGTACTAGCGCCGCGCTAATTGTTATTTCCGTGCCCGACCCGTGAACCATCCACCTTCATCCCCTGATTCCATCCGGACTCACAGCCCGCTCCCCGCAAGTGCAACGCCGACCACCCTTGGAGAGACCGAATTAACTCACCAAATCACTCGCAATCATACCCTTCTTCTTTGGTACTATTAAACAGGCGGACGTTCTTGACGATTCTGAAGTCGCGTACTGTCTGCAGTGGTGCAAGCCCTGGAAGCCACGAGATCCTTGGAAGGCTAAAGCATGTCGACTCAGCAAAACTAGTTCTTCGGAGCCGTTATGAAAATATATCATGATCCTGTTGAGATCTTTCTACATACCAACGACCTGGTCGGATAATGATCAACGTGTGGCTTGCGACATAGCAACAGCCTCCCAACATCCCTATGTGGCCGGGTCTGCTGATTACAGTGCCGACCAAGTCCTCATACTGAGAAGAGCTTTACATATGACCTTTTTGTGCAACTGAACGGAAGACACGGGTTTGGCATGTTGCTCACGAACGACGTACAGGAATCGAACGCCGCGACCATTTTGCCAGATGCACGATGCACGATGCACGATATCTTGACCTTGCAAGCTTACTTATTTGTCAGGAACGACCGGCTTCTTGGGAATCATCAGTCAATACACATGTGGAGCTGTGCTTCAAGTACTCCAATCGCATTCCGTCATGTGTAGCACAAAGCGGCTAGCATGTTCGTTGGAGTCATATTCACCAGGGGCATACCGCAGCCGAGATGACATGTCTACTGTCGTCGAAGGCGTCATTGCCAGTGGGCCTGAAAGCACTCCGCACGTAACGTCTCGGGCTACATCCGAGCTGTACGTATCCACCAGTTCTCTTGCTACGTCGCCAACAGCCATGCTCAAATCGATCACCGACCCGTCGATAATGACAGCGTTTGGCTTCATGACGATCATGCCAACCTTTCAATGAGTTCAAGGTTCACGAACCCACATTTCCAACATGGTTCATGACGATCACGTACATACCAAGCCAACAGAAAGAGCGTATACTGGGGCTATGGGTAAAACGGCTAACGTAAACGGTACTTCCCTTCCGACGTACTCTTATGACCTGGCAAGCTCGGCTTCCACTAGACCTCGTTATGTTGATGAATTGCGTGGGAGGTTAACGAAGCCTATATATAGTGCTGGACGAAGAACCGGTGAAGATTGTAGATCAACCTCTATCTTTACCTCGAGCTCGCCATTCTCGAAGTCTACGCAATGACCGAAAAGACCATCGACACCCTTGGACGTCATGATACCGAGAGCAGCACGGATTCCGAATCGTGCAAGGTTCAGGAGCGCGAGGGTGGGCGTGCGGCATGGCTTACGGTTTTCGGCTCCATACTGGTGTACTATGCCTCCTTTGGGGTTATGAACAGCTTCGGTTTCTTCCAGAACTACTATAGCAGCGACTTCCTGAAAAACACGCCACCATCGACTATCGCATTCATTGGGACGGTTCAAATGGCGCTCATGAACTTACTGGCTGCTCTTTCTGGTGCTCTTTGCGATCGATATGGCGTTCAGGTTAGTACTCGCTCCCGTCACTCATAGAAGAAGACTGACGCCATAATCAGAACCTTTACCTTGGCTCAGGCGCTGGTACTGTGCTGGCCCTCATCATACTGTCCTTCATACATCCTGGACAGTTTTGGTTAGTGCTGATGACACAAGGCTTGCTGATGGGTCTTACCATTGCTTTCGGTGTACAGCCAGCAGTCACGGTAGTTGGTCAGCACTTCAAAGAGCGACGTGCTTTGGCTATGGGGCTAGTGTCTACAGGATCGGCCCTGGGCGGCATCGGCTTCCCGCTAATGTTCGATAAGCTCCTGCCGAGATTGGGCTTCCCAAACTCGCTACGTCTTGCTGCTGTCAAGATAGCGTATGTAACAGCCGCCGCGTCAGTCTTCCATCAGCTAACTGTCTCAGTGTTTGCTACTTGATCGCTTTGTATATCTCTACAAGCAAGCCCAGTGGCAAACCAAGTCGCAAAGGGCTAACTTCGCTTATCGACTTCAAGGGATTCGTCGATACACGCTATGCTGTACTATGCGTTGGAACGTGGTTTGCTATACTGGGCCTTTGGATCCCCGCGTACTATCTCAAGCCATACGCAAACACGGTATACCCCGGTAACAAAGTTAGCGACTACTTCTTGTGCATGCTGAACGGCTCCAGCATCATCGGCGCAACTTTGGGAGGCTTCATCGGAGATCGAATCGGTAGACTGAATCTACTCTGGCCCATTACCCTCGTCTCTGGTTGCCTTTGTCTCTTCCTTTGGCTACTTGGCAACTCCATGGCTACTCTGATTTTCTTCGTCTGCGTATACGGCTTCTTGACCAGCAATGTTACCGCTCTTCCGCCCTCCATAATTGGCGACCTCACACCCAATGACAAGTTAGGTGCGCGCATCGGAGCTTTCTACAGCGTCATTGCTATAGCTAGTCTTGTCGGTACACCGATTGGCGGTGCACTCATCACAAATCATGACACTAAGGACGGGTATAGATGGTTGATAGTATTTTCGGTAAGCTACCTGCTACTTATGAGCAGATAGCCCATGCATTTACTGACCATCAACAGGGTGCCGCTCTCCTCATCGGATCGGCTTTCATGTTCATCAGCCGGCTGTTTCATGACAAAGTCCTACTCAGCAAGTTGTAGGCATATCGCCATCTTAGTAAAGTGGGAGAATCATTCTGGACAAAGTTGATGACATTGGGGATCGAGACCGACATCCGCTCTCTATACCACCTGCACAAAGACTAGAACAGTCGCTTAAAGCCCTCTTCATCACGTCTCGTCCTCAGCCAGAGCTCGGATGGAGAACCTCCCGGCACGGTGTCTCGCACCGGCACTTGGGCGGCCAGAACTCATCGGGGACGATCTCTTGCTTCTCTCCATACGTCTCTTCCTTCTTAACACCAGGAATAACATTTTTCTCCAACTCTATACCACCCTCGTCTTCCTCGTATAGCTCTTGGAGCTCCTCAGTAGTAATCTTTAGATCTTTCTTCGCAAAGTCGCGAAGGCTCAAGAACCTGATTTCCTCTTCCTCGTCCATGAAGCCATGAAGCTTGACAACTTTGTATGGAGCTAGGACCTCGGCGGCGCTCTCGTAGATCAAGCGATGTAACGTACGGGGACAATTGAATGGTTCGCCGTAGAAGATGCTGACTGGTAGCTTTCTCAAATCGTCCTCGAGATACCCAGTGGCATCTGGTAGTTGGAAGATCAACTCATTCAGGTGTGGAAGCTTCTCGAGGACTTCGAAGTTTGGCTTATGTGGCATCCAGTGCTGTGCGAATGATCCAGCAGTGACTTTGAAGAAACAAAGCGCGTCGATGAAAGACAGCTGTAAGTAGATTTTGCGGATGCCATGACTGAAGGTCGCGAATCGGTCCAAGTGCGGATAGAGCTTTGGGAACGCTTTGTATAGTGTTTCCAACTCCCTGGCCTTCTCATCGGACGGGAGACTGTTCACAGCGGTCAACTGACGATGTTTGTCTAGTCTCCGGATGCTGCGCTGGAAGCTGAGCACGCTCTCAGCCACTATACAAAGCCCATCGCCGAACTCGAGGTCACTGTTTCCCGCAAAGCACAGGCGCAGGCTGATCGCGCGTACTTGATGGGAGACTGTGAGGAGAGATGCCCATTTTCCCAGCTGACCGATGACTTCTGGTGCGCCTTGCGTGACCTGGCGGATGCGGCCTCGAGACTTCTTCTGAATTGGTAGCGGAGGAGATTGGTGCAGGCAGAACATTAGGACACGCTCTTTTACCTCAGTGGGTAGGCCAGTCCAATTGAAGGTCCGGCCGTTGGCATTCCACCATTGGAACATGATTTCGTCGGCGACAGGCCCATTCAACGGCGAGAACTCAGCCTCGAAGAATCGCCCCACCGGTACGAACTTGGTCCTCATCCATACCTGAACGGCACCCTTGACAACTTTGCCCTTGTTCCTTCCACGTTTCGCGACCTTGGGACGGCAGACGGCGAAGACAGGGTCGGTGCCAAAGTTGTAGAACCCTACGCAGATTTGGAAGTCTCCGTCGATATCGGCGAAACGGTCTGGATTTGAGTCGTGAGTCGCCTGGCATACGTCGATTGGTATGTTGAAGTGTGCGGCGGATTGAAGGCGGTACTTGGACGCGGCCTCGCGGATCTGAATGAGGAATGGATGATGAAGGGAGGGAGGATCTTGCCATGCGCTTGGCGAGAAGTTGATACTGAAGCTCATTTTGATGTGGCAATGAGGCATCAGCAATTGGTAGTCGAGTGGGCGTCGTGGGAAGTGGCTGCAATGTATGAGGCGCGAGGTTGAAGGTTGAAGGTTGAAGGTTGAAGGTTGAAGGTAGAGGGTTGTAGGTAGAAGGATGAAGGTAGAAGGATGCTACAACTCTGAGATCTTATATCCACCAGAGGCTCGGCGGTGTGGATACCGGCGGTGTGGATATGGGAATAAGTATTGAGGTGGAGTCAAAAGTGAGAGAAGTTCATGGGAACAACGCTAGACCTCAGGCATCTACTCGCGCCGCACAATAGGTATGAAGTGAGAGGGAAAATATTGGTATTGTCTTAATACGCCAGTAAAGATAAGTGGCATATGACCGATTATCCCGAATAGTCATTGTGCTGGGAGGAGTGCAAATAGTTCAATAGGCGCATACATTGCACGGTTTCTACATTTCTATTGTGTGTTGATGTAATGTAGCCACCTAGATGAATTATGGATTACAATAGCATTCGGTACCGTGCTCTGTGAACAACAGATTGAAAACAGTTTCATCCTTCATTTGATTACATATAGTATTGCGACAAGCAGGTGCCGAAATGTCTGAGATGTTACTGTCATCTGGTCTCAACTTCTTGCCCTCAGTCTCTCTCTCTCTCGACAACTCCCCACAGCAAATATTCTTACTATAGCGCTCACTACCGATGCCCATCGTCATCAGACGACTACTGCTACGATATGATTGCTCACCTAGCACGGACCGACCGGTCCTTCGTTTGTACGCCCATCCAAGGTTACACATCCAAGAGTGTCTTGCGACGGAAACATGCATCACGAAGCCGACGCCCCACTGCGCGCACATTCGTAACGCCCATGCCTAGTCAGACAACAACAGGCCCCTCAACAATATCCTCGGATACCATTCTATCGATTCCTACAATCCAGCAGACCCCTTCCACAAACCCCACCGATACTACTCTGCCAGCGGCCCTGCAAACGCAATCTCCCTTCCGTTTTCTCGTCTACCCCGAGACTCGTATTCGCGGGAACGGGAATTCCGTTTGACGCTGACGGTTGCATCCCGGCTGCCGAGATCCCGTGTGACCGATCCTCTTCCTGGTTGTGGCACGTTACATCCAGTCTGAGTTTGGGGATCGGGATCGCTGGTCTGAGAGGGTGGGGCCGTGGCGGATGGAGGGAAGTAGTGAGGAGCGGTTCATGAGGGAGGTAGAATTTGGGTTTGAGGTATTTGGCTGTGGTGGATTGGTGAGTGAGCGGGAAAGCATGTGAGCAGGCTTGCTGGAAGGGTGTGTTGTGGGCTGTGGAAAGCATTATGTCGAGGGGTTTTTGATGGACAGGAGCGGAAGCTTCCCATTCCGACGCTAACAATTTGATGTTATGCTTCGTTGAGGCTATCCTCTCACAGTTGTTCGGACTGAGTTCTTGTCAGCAGCCGCAATAGATGCATGCCCTTCTCACTCACATCATCTATACCATAACTGATATCAATGATATCAATGCATCCACCATGCCTCATCCGCCGTTCAATTCCACAGCACCAGGGTATATACAGCATCCTCCTTCCCATCCCGCACCACCTTCCTTGCCCTTCAAAAATATAGCTCCTCCCTCCACAGCCTCACCAAACATCCTCAGCCCCAACCTCCCACTCCTCCCCATCCCCCCTAACACACTCCCCCCCAACATCCCTACTACAACTCTTCCGCATATCCAACGCATCCTCGCCATCATTATAATAATCCTTCACAACCCTATACACACTATACCCCATCTTGCGATACAGCTCCTTGGCAATCTCATTGCTGCGTCTGACAAACAAATCCACAAACCACGCGTTGGCCGCGTCGGACGATTGTTCGAGGGCAGACGACAGAGCGGTTGCGTAGCCGAGGCGGCGCGCGGAGGGGGCGACGGTGAGCGCGGTTATGTGGCCGTGGTAGGGGAGGTAGTTGGGGTATTGGATGCCGGTTGTGGAGGGCGCGTAGGGTTTTATCGGGGGGTCGAAGGGCGAGGATTCGAGTTTGCCTAGGACTTGGGGGGTGTTAGTTGGTGTTGCGCGTCTTTATATGCGGCATTTGGTATGATGCCTGATTGGGGTCTTACTGTAGCCTTCAATCTCGCCGTCCATGCCTTCTATTATCTGGCATAGCTCGGGCCATTTTGTCAGGTACTCGAGGTAGAAACCGATGTTGTATGTTTCTGTGAGGTGGTCGAGGTTGGTGGAGGAGATTCGGAGGAGGTCGGTTGGTCGCATTGGTCGAATTGTCGCCATGGTGGGAGAAGGGGGCGTGTTTTGGCACGCAGCGACACGTCGGGGGTGGTGGTGGGGTTGTTGTTGATGCGAGGTGTTGGAGGGATGATGCAAGGCGGCACTCCCGCGGCGAAGACTCGCTTAGACTCGCTGGCCTGCTCTTGCGCAAATGCGCTCTATCACTTGCCCATTGACTTGATTTTGTTGGTGATATATATTAAGAATTATGGACATATGAAAATGAACGCCGCTATCGATGCTATGCTTAAGTTACGTTTACAGAATGGGTATAGAGCAGATGAACAACAGCGCAGTACAGCCCGACCACCCGGTCTATATATCCTTCATCTTTTTTTTAATGCGATGATCTCATGCTTGGTCTCAACACTCTTCATGACATGTTTCTCTCAGTATATTCTTGTTGCGCCGTCTCTTATCTCCATGCGGACTGGTGTTGCCGTTCCCAGCGCTGCTTCTTCCTCTTCCTCTTCCTGAAAGGGAATCAGCAGTGCTAGATGCGGAAAGAATCAACACTAGCCTGTGCCCCATTGACATAGTCTTTGACCGACGACGCGCCTGATCGGATTCCGCGCTGGTCATAAGTCATCGGGCTTTGCGCTCGAGTCGGGGTCGAAGGGTTGCGCAAGTTCTCGTAGTGACGGGATACGCCGTTACCGTTCGTGTACGGAGATGCCCCGCGTGAGTTGCTATACTGACTGCTGGTATCGTTGCCATACTCATCGAATCGCGGAGTCTGGTAAGGTCGCCTTTCTCCCGCTAGGCTGTTGCCGCGGATATCGTTGGGGATGGGCGGTGCTTGGCGGAATCGGCGATGCGGTGCAGAGTGCTCCTTCTCGTCGACGAGGACCACCATCCAGACGCCCACGGACCCGTTCTGTCCGAGCAGAGGAGTGCAGTGTATCCACCGAGGTCGGCCCTCTTCGTACGAGTCTTCAAGGTCCGACACGGCGTGCGGTAGCCAGCGGATCTTCGCTGTGACACCGCGGGACCCATCTGCAAGCGCGTCGCTGAGGGAGTCTCGGACACGGTTGCTTCCACCAATGCGATCGAGGAAACGCGACTGGAGAATGCCGGGGACACGGAGAGATGGGGATGTGAAGAGAATACGCAGGGAAGGTGCCGGGCGCACAACGAGGTACTAAATTATGTCAGTCTCCCCGCATCGTCACATGTAGAAACGACAGTCCACTTACGTGTTTGTATGGGCCGGACAATCTGCCGTCTGCCTTGTTGATCGCTGGCTTCTCCGCCCTGTCAACGTCATAGGTAGACTGGTCCTGGATCAGCAGTCTGGGCTTATGCTGCATGCTCACATCGTCCTGCTCTTCCAGATGTTCCCTATGCATATTGCCGCCGTACTTGCGCACGGTGTCCAACTCGGTGTTATTGAACATCTCACTGAGCGCCTGGAATTCATCTTTCTGTGGCTCCTTCTCTTTCTGACCCTCCTCCTCATCGAGCATGCGCCGGAAAGCCTCAAGATCGGTGCTGTCCTTTACGAGACCAGAAATGTCGATTTGCGCGCCAATAAAGTATCGTAGGGTTCCGCGCGAATCAAGAAGAGGCGCAATCATCAAAAGGTTCATAAATGGCGATCCATCACGGCGACTGTGTTGAAGTCAACAAATGCTCACCAATGGAATCGCAAGAGTGACCGAGGCACTTACTAGTTCAGGAACACCTCACTGTGGTCTTTGCCTTCCCGGGCCGCGATGCCAAAGCGCTCAACACTGGCCCGGTTCGTTTTCGGGCCTTGGAGAAAGCGACAGTTGCGCCCGATAGCGTAGCCAACACCATACTGAGTCGTGCGGTGAAATTCTAGTTTCAGGTTAACAAACGGTCTGTCTCGTAGCGCAACGGTAAACTAACCTTCCGACGCGAAGATAATCGGGTTGTCAGTCCTAGATGGGTCTGTCAGGCAGAATACTTCGGCCAGACCCTCGCTAGCCTCACGAAGCATCGGAGGTAAATTCCCCGTTACGCGTTTCGCAATGCTCACGCTAACCACTTGAATGAAGACGTGGGTTATGAAAGCCGGAAGATCGTCGCGAACCAGGACGTCAAAGGCCCGATTGGCTTTTTCCTCCAACACTGCGTTCATGGTCGTCCGCGCTGGAGTCTCGGTGAAGTCCAAGCCCGGAATGGGTTCCAGGGCTTCGGCGACGGCATTGGCATAGCTGATGGCTCGTAGCGCTTTCAGAGCGTCGAGGTAGTAGATGAGAGTGGGAAGCGAGTTGGGCCGGGCGATGCTCAGGAATGACGTAAATCGGAGTAGCGATGCAGTGTCGGCGAAGATGGCCTTCAGATGTTCCTTCGAAAAGAGTTGCTCGGATCTAGTCTCGAGAGAATATTGTGATCGCGAGTTCTCGATGGGTCCGCTGACAAGGTCGAATGACTGGGGATCATCTTCCAGTAATGGCGATAGCCGGTCTCCGTCCTCGATGATATCAGCTTTCTGTTGGAGAGGACCCAGTTGTCGCGTTGCGAAAGACGGCGCGGTAGACTCATATGATATGACTGAGTCGGCTGAGCTTCGTATCGTGGTCGGCTGTTCGTTCATGGGAATTCGTGAAGACAGTATGTTCTGTGGCACGGCACTTGACGTGCGTGACATACTTCGGGTACGCGTCTGTTGCATGTCTGGCGTTGCACGTCCGTTGTTAGGCGTTACACGTCCGTTATTAGGTGATGAAGGCTCAGCACTCAGTCGCCGTTGCAATGATATGCGCTTCTTGTTGGCCTGAGGAGTGCTGGAACTTGGAGGGAATGAGTAAAAGGAAGGAAGAAACGAGGGGGGAGAAGAGGGGGTTACCTGGTGCGGGAAGGGATATGGATATCCTTTCTTGTAAAGTCTATCTGTGGAGCGGGAGCAGTATCGTCATCCGAAAGCCAACTTTCTCTTCGTTCGGGATCAGCCGGTCTAGTGACGGGTGAAAGAGGGGCACTCCTTGCATTTGAATCAGAAGCATCTTGCATGGTTGCAAAGTCCAGGACCAGTGGTTCATTAAACGCACCGCCACTGCCGTTGGTGACATTGGGGTGGGCATCCGTATCGGGTGCCATGACGCTATCGACATACGCTGGGGCCAACTCGGTTGAGCTCCCCATTTTGGCTGAATTGATAGTGGTATTCGACGTCCTGGCAGGATCAGTAGGCCGTTTGGAAGAGAACACTCCGTGAGCTGATCGCATCTTGTTCTTAAACAGGGCCATTGTATTCGTGGAACGCTACCACGTTGCGGCCGTCAAAAAAGCAAATGGGACAAGTGGGAAAGTTTGATAACTGGGGGCGGCACAGCGTGTTGGGGAAGGGGAGACGTAGATCGATGACGAAGAGAGAATTTCTGTAGGGTAAACATACCGGAGAAGCCAAAAACCGCTGACACGTTATAGGTCCCTTGTCTCTGAATAGCTAGGTACTAGTCGGTCGCCTGGCGTGCCTGGCTGGTGGTGCTACGACGTCGACTCGCCGGCGTCTGCTTTGGGCACCACAAAGATCGCTTTAGTCTGGTAGGCTAATGTTCCGGCCGCAAGGATGCCGATTGCGCCGATAGTGTGGGCTAATGCAAGGCACAATGAGATGTCGGCGATCGTGAGATTTGCCTCCCGCGGCAGATGATCGAAGGATTGAGGCTTGGTGAGCTCAAATAGGGAGTCGACCTAAGACAGGGGTTGCGGGTGCTATCGATTATCTGCCGGCTATCGGCGCTGTAAGCTGAGATCTACGATGGAATACTTCACGATGCTGACAGGTCCAACAATTCGATGTTGTCGCAGTCGAAACAAAGCTGGGGGGTTGGGCGTCGCATAACCAGCCCCCCGCATCAGCCACGAGTACATTTTTGTGCACCTCGCGGCATACCTTACATCGACGCCTGATCCCTGTGCAAATCTGCAGACCGCCATGGCTAAAGAGAATCTGCAATCGTGATGTGTTTCCTGTGTGTGGTCGGTCTTAACATCCGACACGTCGAACTGTCATAATCCTGGACGTGTCCCCGTTGGAGGAACTCCAGGGTTTGGGTCTAGCTGTCTGCAGCCGTGATCTGTGCTGGCAAAGGTTTGCAGCCGCCCGTGCTCCGTATAACAACAACCTCGGGGTAGTTAACCAGCCTAAGGGATGCTCTTCCGACTGCCCTGGTCTTCCTCTTCAGCTGTCAGTTGTCAACTTGACGCGCTTCCCGCAAACTTTGCGCTAGAGAAGACGGGAGTGAATCCCCGGCTTACCACCCTCAATTCCCTCTCCAGATGCTCATGTCCGAAGAGGGACTCCACTTGGATGGTATGATGTCGCTTTCGGATTGTGGAGTTTTCTGACTCGACATGGCAGATGAGTGCGGTGCATTACTCGCAACGCAGATCTTCGTTTTAGGAAGTCAGTCGCATTCAGTGGGTTTCTTGGAACATGGGTGCGAAACTCCACTCCAGCAGAGGTTGCCCTGGTGTTGAACTCCACGGCGTATCAGCGGCGTAATAACCTTCTCTGTTATCCACTACTGCAACCGAGCCGACAACGTTACAGCATGACGTGTATGGCACAGTGGATCCACGGTAGCCGTGGGTGGCCTCGACTCGACGTGTCGATGCAGGGAGATAATGCCCGATGGGAGTCGATTGCTTTTGGGATATTGTCCGAACAGCTTTTTGTTCCTTTTTGCGGGCAGTGGAGCCAAGCTGCGGTGTCCAGACGGCACGTGTCGTGGGGCGACGCTGTCGCATGCAATCTGAAATGTGGGCTGGAGCTGTGCAGACAACTTCGCGTGGGCAAGCGTCATGCGCTCATGGTCGACTGTACATGCTAATGTTCACTAGATTCGCAATGAACCTTGGAAGCCTATTGTTTCTCCTGCACCACGTGAGCAGCCAATCAACGGCCAACCCCGCCGAAATGCAGGCCAACGAAGAGGTGCGCCTAGATCCGAAATCTAGATGCCCGCGCATTTAGCTTTGTCGCGAAGGGAATCGATGAATTCCCCTGAATCTTGGGAAACTTGGGAAACCTTCGACAGCTCGGGTGGGTGTACGGGGTGACGGGCTACCAACCATCGGCTGTGTCCTAGTCAGGTATTGCGATTCCGTCATCTTAGTTCAGATCCCTAGATAGATGTCGGTAGCAGCCGATATACCTTAGATCAAACCTTCTGTCCTGAACCCCAGACCGCCACGTGCATTGGTCACTCTGTCACTCTGGCATTCCTACCAATCGCGACATTGATTCCTCGTTTTGTCAGTCACATGATTTTAGCTTTGATTGTCTTCTGTCACTGTCAGGCAACGTTCAGAGCATAGCCCATTGTTCCTCGGTTCTTATTCCCATGCTTCCCGGTGAAGAGTCCGTCAACTTCAATTGGCGAACAATATCGCGCTTCGGTCCTGCTATAAAGACAATATATTGCAAGACCACGAATATATTGGTAGGTTTATGTCTTTAAACACAAAGTGTTTTGAAACCCAAGATGAAGTGGAAATGGATTTATGTTTCTTTATACTGATCACCACTTCATTTCTTGGTGATACTTGTGATGCGCCCGCCGTCCTGTGAAACATTATCTTGTCAGGCACGCGCATCCTGAAGGTTCAATGTAGGTGGAGCAAGCTACAAGCTTTTTGTGAAGAGTACGTCGGCGAAGACAAGAACACGGATTCGGCGACTCTACGGAGGGCCAAGTGACTGTGGCGGGCTGTGGCACCGCTCGATAGTACAAGAGTTTTGCAAAAGTCTTTCCAAGTGGATCATATGCTCCTCTCCCCTCGGGCACGTTAATGACGGAGGTTGTGAAGTCGAGATACCTGCAAGATTTGAAAACGTACTCCAGCTACATCCGAAGCATCGCCGTGTATGCAAGCTAAATGTTCAATGTTTTCCCTTGAACAGGATGCTTGGATCACTGCCCTGACGTGGTTCACTCGCTGGTCCCCTGCCATGCCGTTCGATCGCAAGGGATACCCTGACATGTCTCATTCTTAGTACGACGGCCCCGTCTGCATCCGAGCGGCGTTCTATCGTACCTGGCGGACATAGTGCGTAGAACGGACATGATGGTTCCCTGTTGGCGCGTCGGTTGCCCGTTATGGTCCTCGGCGAAGCGTCATCGGTTTGGACGTGATGACGTTCATAGTGACGGCAAATGTGTTCCTGGAGTCTTTAGGCATCACGGGACTCGCGCTCATGGTTCAGCTGCCTTCGCTAGCATTTGAAATTACCACTCGAGCAACCCAAACAGACACCTGCCTTCGCTGCCACACTGAACACACTCGTTGCATTACGAGTTGAACAACCCAAAACTCACACCTAGTGGAAGTTTTAGTCCCAAGACCCTGTTCTCGGGGTAGAAGAGATTGAGATAGGCATCCAGGTCTAGGGGATACCGTACCCGAACCGACACGATCGTCAAATGTCGGACATTCAACAGGCACAGTAACATCAGTGACTTTATGAAAACGACGAAGATTACTAATCTTAGAAGCGGTGCATTCCTGGTGCTCTGGAATTTGTTGAGGGGAGTACGTCCCAGTACGCCGAAGAAGAGATGGGAGTGAAGTATGTTTTAACAAGTCTATCTATCGTTGGATCTATCGTCGTTCGTACAGGGTATCGTGTGCTGGTTACGTATAGTACATTGATGTAGCAGTATGCGTGCTCATCGTATGAGAGTCGTTCCTTCGGTTATTGAAGTGTTATGTTGTTGGTTCGCGTTGCGTTCACAGCTGGAATCGTTTCGTAGTTGGACTTGTCAGAGTAAAGGTCTGATGCTCAAGAGACTTGATGCTCATTCAGCGGGACGACCGATGTGACCGCATCGTTTGCCTCGTAGGAAGCTGAATGCGAGATCGCAAATTCTGGAGCGCTTCAGTCGGCGACGCATTGTCTAGGTCGTGACCGGACAAAGCGTCACCGTGATGTTGCGCATCGGGTATGTCTTCTTGTTCGGGCGGGACCTCAGAAGAATTTTTCGTGTCGTCGTAGTCTTGGGCTTCGTCATCATACTGGCGAGCTGGGCGTCTACGCGGAGGACGTGCTGTGGTCTGGGCAAGTTTCTGTTCAAGAAGCCATGCCTTGCGCTTGTATCTGAGGAGCTCTTCTTCTTGTTCGAGTGCCTTTCTCCTTGATTCGATATCTGCAACGGTGGTATCCGACTCCGTGTACGTGCGTGCATCGATGGGTTCGCGTGTTCGGTACGTGTTTGTGTAATTGTCGTCGCGGGGCTGAGACCGAGCATGTCGCTCTCGACGCGGCGGAGAGTTCTGGAGGCGCATCGTCTGCCGCAGGAGCTGTTGCTGTAATCTAATGAGATCGCGCTCCCTTTCAGCCAATTGGGCTTCTCGAAGCTCTATGTCGCGGTCTCGAGGCGGTGTTTGAGGGAATGGCTTAGGCCTGTCCGAGCTCGTGGGCAGAGGTCGGTCTCTTAAAGACCGCACATCCAGCCCATTCAGCAGCTTTGCAGGTGCCTTTGGAGGCAAGCCGACACTTTCGCGAAGCCTAGCAGCCTCGTGGTTTCGCGCCCGCCTCTTTGCTGTCAATTGAGGCTTCAGCATCTCCGGGTTGTTGGACAAGCGCAGACCATTTCCCAGGCGGACGTTTGGCTGTAGAACGCCATCGACCAATGTACCGCGAAACGTCTCCAGAGCCTCGCTGTTCCGTAATCTGTGTTTGAATTTCAATTGGGGGGCGTCGTTGAAGCGTGCGGATATCGGGCGGCTTTCGGTGGGGTCGAGGGTCAGTTCGACATTTTCGAAGGGCGGGTCGGCGACAGACACTCTCTGCCCATCTTGGGCGTTACGAGCTAGAATGCGGAATGTGTTCTCGCGTAACTGTCTTGTGTCCTTACTGGTGTGGTTGTTAGCACATACATCCAGACTGCAAGCCGTGGTACTCACTTGATAATGATGAAGCGCTTCATGTGCGGATTCTCTCGCTGTATCTCCTGCATCTTCGGCGTCGGCCCACTTATGAACTGCGCAGCTATCTTCATGCGCGCTTCGAAGATGTCGTGAGGGAACCACGCAAAGGGAAGTATGAAAACAGACCCATCCTCAAAGTATGCCCATCCAGTCGGGAACTTAAACTTGCTGCGGGCGTAGAGGCTGCCCAGATTTACAGAATTATACTGCGGTCTAGTCAACCCAAACGAAGGCCCAGCGCCCGGGGGCGGGATGCTGTATAGACTCCTCAGGTTACCGTATGCGCGGCGGAAGGCCATAGTCCGCCGATGTGGGTGCTATGCCCCGAGCCCTACCTTGTGTTCTACACTATGTGTCGCGAGTGGCACGCACTGTCTCTGCGGCGGTAACGAGTCGTGATACGTGAGCGTGTGTAGGCGACACAGCCATGGCCAGATCTAAGACTCCGCGGGCAAGGCTAAGGCTATCGGAGAGCGAGGAAGCGCATAATAGGCGATGGCGTACGCACGGAGGAATATGCGGCTAGACAGGACAATCAGCCTCATGTAGAGAGTGGCATGGTAGACACGTCAGCGACATACCTCGTGGTGGCTGCAACGGTGGTGTGGTGGCTGCGAAGGATTCACGATGCAGCACTCAAATTGCTGCGCACGAGCCGTTTGAGTCGGGTGTACCGTTCCGCCACCCCTTCGTTGATCGGCATGTATCTTAATTGCACCTCACATCCTATTCGGACCTCCTTCACTCCTCTCTTCTCTTTGCAACTAATTCTGTCGAAGAATTTCTACGTTTCGTACACTTCTCCTTCAAAGTCATTTGTTCATACTATGTATGTACTACAAGATCGCCACTATAAACGCAGCATCGAACAGCCCATAATGCGGGTCTAAGAAGAAGAACACACCCTCCCACATCCATCTGATTAATCGTGACGGCGCCGTCAAACTGAAACGTTGCCCCCGCCTAAAATCCAACCCAACTGCTGTGCAGTTGCTGCGCATCTATGCCAGCCTGCCGCCATCCAACGTCAACCCCGTCAACGCCAAATAATTTTACCGCTCCGAGTTTCCTCCAAGATCAACCTTGCGCAATCAGTAATGATCGGCATTCTTCGTAGACGACCGTTGTTCCGACTCCTGGCTTTCCGAGCGCTGTCGGGCGAAAGAGTTGGCGCATCCGCAGAAAGAGCAGTGCCAGAGAATGCAGATTGATCGAGTCCATTTGTCAGACTCTCCTCTGTTGAACAACGACTCAGCTGCCTACATGAGAATGCAGATCGACGTTTCCTTCCACACGCCGTCTAGTATGCGCCCGCGTCATGCAGCGTTCTGCTTTTCAACTATGCTATCTATCGCCATCGACCGAGTGGAAGGTGTAGTTGGTGTCGGTGGTGCCTTTATTTCTGACTTGTTTGGAGTAATCTGCGCCTGCAGTTGTGGCTGTATCTGCGGCGGCATAGTCTGAGTCGGCGATAAGGATGTAGAAGCTGCGTCCTCCTCGGTAGGTTCATTGTCGTCTCCAAGTATCTCGTCCACTTCCCGCAGCCAGTTGGCCTTGAGGACCTCCATGGGAGGATCCAAGTCGCCAGGCTTCCCGCCGCGTCGAGCCTCCGCTGCAGTCATCTTCCTTTCACCGCGTTTGTGGGGGTGGAAATGCATGCGCCGAAGGTGGCTTGCGGCATTGTAGCATTCGTTGTACCTCTTTCCAGTCTGGCATGCCTTACAGTTGGCTAGGAACGACTTGTCGGGCGACGTGTCGATTGTCACCCAGACTTTACGTGCCTTTTTGTGGACACGGTTGGTATGACGTCGCAGCTCATGCTCACTGCGGAAGCCATCGGGATAGTCCGCGCAGAGGGGACACTTGAGTCGCAATACTTTGCGAGATGGAGGCTTGGAATTTGCTTCAAAGGTGGGCGAAGTAGCAGGCGTCGTCTGAATGCTGGGTGCTGTCACAATGGTCTCCCTTGGTGCTGGAGTGGGCTCTATTGGTTCGCTAGCCTTGGTATCCGTGACGGTAGGGGTAGTGGTCGCCGCATCTTCTTTCATCCTGGCTCTGGTTCTTGTAGGAGGCATCAACTTGATGGCGCCAGATGAAGTCCAGGTAGGTTCCGACCAGGCTGAAATACAGTAGTGCTGTGCAATTCCGTCACACGGTCCGATACAGCTGAGTGTTGGGGAGGCTCGCTTGGTGGGGCGCGTCCTGTCGCTCTAACGGCAGCTAAAACCGACAGGTTCAGAGAATGGCAGGTGTAGTCCTGGGGTACTAGGGACGTGTGATGTGTTTCCAAGTCGATCTAGAAAGGGCGGGGGGCCAGGCAGCAAGATATCCCGATTTTCGCTGGGCCCAGTGGAGTGCGCACGAGGCTGGAATGGCGCAGTCAGCCTCGTTTCCCAAGGTGAGTGGACGAGCCTTGAGCTGCAAGCCACGCTACAAACGGCAAGCTGGCGAGCTGAGTGCTTATTGGGTCTTCTGCCTCAGGCTGAACGACGTGTGCTGAGCCCATGGCGAATCAGGTGACGCAGCCTGCTTGAGCTGGGCCGGTTTCTGGGCCAGTTGGGCCAGATAATCAAAAGGAACGAAGGATTGCCGTCCAAACCCTGCTCGGATCATTCCGTCTCGCAACGAACTGCACGTCCAAGAAAGCGGAGGGTTGCGGGCTGGCTAGGGCGAGCGAGCATTGTGGTTCATGGCTTGGTCATGCTTTTCCTAATTCGATGTTCCGGCTCGCGACCGACTTTCGCAGCCTGGGAGTAACCTGGACCTTGACAATTCACATCGCATCATCACCCGACATCACGACACCCTCTAGATGCTTCTGGCAAGGCAGCATCAGCATTCGCAGCACTGGTCTCAAGTTATTTCCTTGTTCAGCCTTGCTCCGGGCCTGTACCGGAAGACGCCTTTGGCTGGCCCAAGCGGAGCCGAGGCTCTGGACGAATCAGCGAGCGTGGGAATTTGCTTGCTTTACGAAGGGTCGCCGATCCAAGGAGCCAATTGGTGTCTCCAGCAAGCCTCGAGTCCAGCTGCAGAGGCATGGCTTGCACCTAGGAAGCACGACGTCTCCGTCATTCGCGATCGGCTGCAGCCTTCTTCAGCTCGGCCGGTGTTGATCCTGCGCTCTCCATCTTGCGAGTCTGTCGGGTGGGGCGCAATCAGACTGTACGAAGACACGGAGTTTGGCCCTGATCCTTCGCCTTGCTGAAGTCAGACTAGGCCACCTCTCCGTCGTCCGATATGCGGTATATGGGCACTAGATGTAAGATCGGTCGACAGATGGCCCGAGGCTGACGTCCAGCGGCCACGAAACCTTATCCACCGATTAGCATCAAAGGACCCTACCGCGGGCGTGGTACCCCTCTTGCCCTATTCGAGCATTGGTCGCAAAACACCATGCATCCTCTGTTGCATGAATACCACATTCGATCTGCCTGACTTGTGGCATACCATCGCGATGATGCAGCTCTGACACCGTTCCGATGCGACCCTGATAGGCTCCAGCGCGCAACATGTCAGCCTTTCCGCCCAGCGCTGAAGCACGCGCGCCCTGCGGAGGGAAAGGGTGTGAGTAACGCTTATCGATTCGTAAGCCTCCTAGCCTGCATAGGGCTGGGCCGACGTTTCATGTCTCGAGATACTCGTCATTTTTGCAAAGTACAGGAAAAACCACGTTTGCGAATCGATGAGCCATACATGCCCTGCCGATGCCTTGTTGAGGAGATTGCTTCCCGGCTCACAGGTTCAACCACATGGCTCACATTGTTTACCCTTACACTCATTATGCGCAGTCGTACTAGCCCGTCAGCTTCGGCTCTGCCCCTCTCTCCGGGCCAACTGTGCTTTTTCCTCAGCCTCACGCTGCAGATGCGAGTACAATGCCTCTAATACGACGGATGCGGACTGTACCTCATCTGTTCCGTCTTTTGAAGGCAGTGCAACCGACTGTCAGTTGTTCGGAGCAGAGCTGAACATGTAGTCAACCTCTTGAGATGTTTTCAGCCCACTGGAGCAGTACGCAAACATACTCACACTGGGCCCCAACAATGTGTGCAGACATCCGCCAAAACATATCTACGTATACTTGACCAGAGTCTGCAAAGCTGGCAGCTGGCTTCCTTTGGAGCAGGCTCTCTGTCGATCTGTAGGATATCTCGGGTACATGCCGTGGCCGAGCGGCAGTAGTACAGGAGAGCCTATTAGCAGATCGTTATCTGTGCTCTCCGCACAAAGCAGTGTGGTGTTCGGGGAAGGTACCCGCTGCCTATCGTCTCGCTATGGGTGTGAAGAGGTCCACCTTCAAGCCTACATTGACGCTAGGTGTCTTAACTTGCTTGTTGTACTTTAGTGTAGGCTGCAGGTCCGTGTAGTTTCTTCTTTGTATGAGGTGGACGGCTGTGTCTGATCTTCTTTGCACATGCGAACTACCCGACGAACACATTAGCCTACCCTAGATTCTGCCGCTGATACTAAGACGGGAAAGACAAGTCGCTACCATAGTGCCGGTATTGCTGGACGCCTGAAGTTGTTCGATGTGGTCAAATGGGCTAGAACGTCTGGCAAGGCCAGTCTATGTATCATGTGGCTTCGATGCAAAGGAAGGTGTTATTGAAGACGACCTGGCTGTTTGATGCCCAGGTGTTCGTGGCTAGGTTTCCTGACCATCCCCATTAGGACGAAAATTGACCTTCCATACCCGTCAAGCAGCTCAAAATGACAGTCAGCACACAGATTCCGATGTGTCTTATGAGAAAGTCGGATGGCCTGGTGAGTGTGAAGACAAAATAGCATGTGAAGGAGCTGTTGCACACGGGCCCACTCTTGACGTTTGGATTAGAAACAGGGGTGCAGGCGATCATGCTTCTCCTACCGAGGCCATCCTCCAGACAGCATCGAGCCGCCCACCCCACATATGATTTCATACGCTGCTACGTAGGCATCGCATCGCAACATCGCCTGGTCGCGATACCCCGGACACGGCCGCACCTCTGCTCGCGCAGCCGTCGGCATCCGCCATGCGCCCCCCTGGCCCTTCGAGGTGACATAGGCGCCATCACCAGAAATGTCAGCAAGCTCCAGCCATGGCCGGCCGTCGGGAGACTCGGACCGCTGGACGACATCCTCGCACACATACATCGCCAGCAACTCGGGCGCATACACCGACTACGGCGAAGGGAGCTCTTCCCCGCGGCGGAGCCAAGATTTCAGACCCGGCACAGGCGCAACCAACGACGCAGGCAGCTCAGCATCGGGCAGCCTGTTGGCTAGGGACTCGGTGCATGAGGAAGACTTTGCGCGCCGA